AAAAAAATTAACAAGAGAACAATGGATGGTACATGTAACCAAAACACCATTCACAGAACAACAAATTATATCAATACATTTTACATTTATTACTTCCAGTTTAAGACTTGCTTACTCTGGAGTACCACACAGTCTTACAATTATTTTTTAACACTGCTAGTAAATTTCGAATCCTTTTCACTTACTATTGTTTCTTAGCAACTTCTATTTTCTTCTTTCATTTTTATGTTGTATTTTAGTAATATATATTATATGTTACTATAGCTACGTAATATAAGTATACTATATTAGAATAATAATGAAACAACAATAATATTTTATACATTGTTGGAGACACGTGCGACAGACTCGACAGATGGAACATCACAATCAATTGTATAAAATAACGTACACTTCAATATCGAACAGTTTGTATGTATTAACCCTGAAGAAACTGTAAAAGCGAAACGTTGGTAGTAATAATAAAAAACAACAAATACATATACATCTGGAGTGTAAAGGTCGTTTATCTAAATTTTTATCACAATATTTAAGTAATAGTAAGTATCCACATACTTCGTAAAATTTAATTTATTTATTTACATGAGTTTAAAGAAGCACCCATACATATTTTCACAAACCTGGTTCGGAAAAGACAATGATTTCCGAGGTCTTGCCATAATACTCTTCGTGCTTTTCCTGCTCCTGGTCTTGAACTGTTTCTTCCACCGGTTGGTCCTGAGGCAGCACCTCCAGAAACAGATGGCCCGAGCTCCGCTGGAGGGCCTCTAGAACAACTTCCCGTGGTACGGGAACTGTCATGTTGGGTCGCTCGTGTAAGTTTAGTTTAGAAAGAATCTGCTGTTTGATAGCCTCGAGCTTCAGCTGCTCACTCACGTGCCGGTCGGATACCGTCAGACATTGCGGACAAGTGTTTATTGGCAGTGCGTCTTGTCGCCTCGGGCCATGGTTCTGAGACTGTACTAGGGCTGCCACCAGACACACGAGGGCTACCATAAATTCTTTGGACACGTACATCCCTCTTCTACTAAGTTCAGTGGGGTACTGGGCAATCCCTCCGGCAGGCCCTAGAACTTCACGGGAAATTTGACGATGAATACCCCGACTAGCGGCCGGCGTTTGAAGCTTTAAAGTGGTGTAAGGTGTTCCAACCAGATTAATTTTTCATTTTGTTTACTACCGTCTTATCAAGGTACGGGATAACCGCCAAGAAGGCGCCATTCTACACATGGATTTAACAAGGTTACACACATGTGGTTCCTACTTGTTTCCAGTAGCTTTCTAACTCCAAGTGCGATCTAACGCGCACATGCTCCACTAGTCAGTCTGTGTTCTCACCTGCAGTTTACCGTACCCGCTGCCCGCTCTCACGTGACTCAAGCCGCTGAGAAGCTTAAAAACCTCCAACATTCTAGCAATAAAGAGTTGCGCAAGTCTCTTCTGAATTATAACAGAATGCTACACTGTTTAAAACTGTAGAAATCGAAGTAACATTTGGGATTCTTACAAAGTATTAGAACAATGGACATACGAGATTAGTCTATTAAACAAATCTAGAACTTTTCATTCTCTGCTTAGAATGCGATAAATGATTTTTTTTTAGTTTAATTGATTGATTCCTCCGCAGGCTGACAGAAATTATTATCCGAAGAATTGAGTGGGTGAAAATCTGTACTAACATGAAAACTGTAGACTAGACCTTAAACTTGTATATCCACATTCAGCTATCATTTCTTTCTTTTTCGTTGAATCGAAGGAAAGCCTTTAAAGATAGATAGATAATTTGGTTGTTCGTTTTGAATTTCGTGCAAATCTACTAGAGGGCTATCTATCTAAAGTGATTTGGGTTTTTTAGGTAGACCTCTTCCTCCCTACTGTGCTGTTATTATATTTTCTATCATTCTTGGGTTTGGGTTTTGGTTGGCTGGTTTGATTTGTTGGATTATATTACCACTTTGCTTTTCAGGGCCATGTCCGTTTTATGTTTTCAAGTTGTATATGTGTGTAGCCTTATGTTTGCTTGGTATTTGAGTTCTGTGATGTTTGTGGTAGTAAGAGTAATTGTGCTATCTGTGCTAATATTAGTAGTAGTTGTTCTAGCGCTATTTTCACGATTAGTGGAATGCAATCCTCTTTTAAAGATAGATAGATAATTTGGTTGTTCGTTTTGAATTTCACGCAAATCTACTAGAGGGATATCTGCGCTAGCCATGTCTAATATAGTAGGGATAGAGCCTAGGGTGAAGGCAGCTAGTCAACACCGCCCACCGCCAACTCTTGGGCTATTCTTTTACCAACGAATAGTGGAATTGACCGCCACATTTTAACGCCCCCAAGGCTGAAAGGACGAACATGTTTAGTGTGACGGGTATTCGAACCCACAGAATGCGAATCGAGCGACTTAGCCACCAAGCTATGCCAGGCCAAGATAGACGGACAAATTTACAGACACAATTAAACTACTTTCATTTTTACAAAATAAAAACGTTTAACACGCGCTATTGAAAGATGTGCAATAAAAGTTATTCAAGGTAGTATCAAATCCATCGGTCAACGTAGCATACATATTTCATCCATCTCTAACCGTAGCATGCTGGTTTGTTCAGTCAGATCCATCGTTAACTATAGCATGCAAGCTTGCTCCATCAAATACATTGATCAGCATAACAAACAAATCTGGTCCACCAAATCCATCGTAAACCACAGCATTCAGACTTGCTTCATCAAATACATCTTTAACCATATCATACAGATCTGATCCATCAAATCCATTGTTAGCATAGCAAGCAGAGTTACTTTATCAAATTCATCGTTTACCAAAGCATTCAGATATGCTCCTTCAAATCCATCATCACCCACAGCATGCAGACTTCTTCCATTCAACCTGTTGTTGAATATAGCGTCCAGACTTCTTACATCAAATCCATCGGTCAGAATAGCATACAGACATGATCTATAAAATCCATCATTTAACACAGACTTATTCGAATAAATCCATCGTTCAACATAGCATATAAACATATTCCATCAATTCTGTTCTACAAATAAGCTATCAGGATAGTTCCGTTAAACATTCCAAATAGAGCTCAAACCTGTTACAGTTGTTTTACTTAATAAACATTCTTGTCAAGGATGTCTACATAGCAAGTAGACATGTTTCATCGAGTCAGTTGTACATAGGGCATATACAGTACTTCATTCATTCAGTCGTACATTCAAACAAATATACGTGTTATATAACAGACTGGATAAAGCATGTTTCTTTGTTGTGTTATATAACAGACTGGATGAAGCATGTTTCTTTGTTGTGTTATATAACAGACTGGAGGAAGTATGTTTCTTTGCTGTGTTATATAACAGAAAGCAAGTTTCTTTGTTGTGTTATATAACAGACTGGATAAAGCATGTTTCTTTGCTGTGTTATATAACAAACTGGATGAAGCATGTTTCTTTGCTGTGTTATATAACAGACTGGATAAAGCATGTTTCTTTGCTGTGTTATATAACAAACTGGATGAAGCATGTTTCTTTGTTGTGTTATATAACAGACTGGATGAAGCATGTTTCTTTGCTCTGTTATATAACAGACTGGATGAAACATGTCGACTTGTTTTGTTGTATAATTAATTCGATAAAGCATGACTACTTGTTTTGCTATACAACATGTTGGATGAGGCATTATGTTTACTGTATTTTACATCTAATTTGATGTAGCATTAGCACTTTACCATATCTATCGTTCATTATGCCATTCAGAACTGTTCCATAAGATTCGTTAATTGTATTATTCGAAAAAGTTTACCTCATCAAATTCTTTGTTAAAATATTTAAGGTTAAATAGTCCATTCAACTTAGTTTTCATTATATCCAGGACGTTTTGAACATATCTCCGTTAATTGTATTGTTCGAGAAAGTTTACCTCATCAATTTCTTTGTTAAAATATTTAAGGTTAAATACTCCATTCAACTTAGTTTTCATTATATCCAGGACACATTCATAAACCGATTTTTCAACATGACGATCTGCTTCGATGTATCTGTAGGTAAACAAAAGTTAACATAACTGAATAGACCTGCATTATTAAATTAACTCCATTCGATTTGTTATTCAGCAAAAACGTTATATTTACTTATTTCATACAGCCTGTTGTTTTATTCCCATTTTTTTTACACAACTTGTTATTTCAATGTATTGTATATTTCTACACCATACAGATCTGTTTTATATATTTTGGTGTTTAACTGAATAACCAATCAAAACATTTAATTTAAATTGTTATTTATTTCTCACACCCTACAAACATGTTACACCTTACCTGTTGTTTAACTAATACGACATAACAGTGATGATCTATCTCAGTTGTTGTTAATTAAGATGTCACGCATATACGTTCCACTTAATGTCTTGTTTACTGCCCTTCAACCACTTTACAAGACCTTCTGTTTAATTGTTGCACCTCAAAGTTATATCCTATTAAACTTGTTTGATTAAAACTCCACTACTACAGATCTGTTCTTTAATTAACACACCACACGGACATGTTTCATCCAACCTCTCTTTTTTTTGTAATTAACACTGTTATGTATAAATCGATGCCTTTATCATATTCCACTTGATCTATGGTTCAGTTAACATAAACAAGTCTAACACAACCTGATGTTTACCTACTACATTATATAGAAGTCTTTATTTCATATTTCTTCAGTAAGCACATCAGATAAACAAGCTTCTTCTGACCTGTTTTATAGCTAACACATGTGTGACATTTTCATTCAATAGTTTGTTCTCAAAACACTGGCAATAATATTTGATCAGTGTTCTTGTTCATTAAACATACCAAACTGACACAATTTGATACCATCTTGCTTCGTCAATACACGAAACGGTGGGTTTGATCTGACCTGTTGTTCAATTATGGTATTTTCTGGTACATTGGCTTACATTTCTGTGAATAATAGTAATCGTAGATAATATTTAGAAAGGCAGAAATTGTAATGAAAACGTTACTCTGAATGAAACTGAATAAGGAGACCATATAAAGAGTTAATCAAAAGTAAACAACTTTAATTCATGATAATTATTAAGTTATTAGTGAGGAATGGGTATTGACTTTGCTTTTGCTAATTCTTTTTTATAACAAGAAGAATAAAAAGAGAAAAAACATACAATTAATATATATCACTCGCCAAGAGTTGCATGTTAAAGGTTTGACACATTTCCTCCACGGTAACTGTCGATGATTTCCTGGTAGAGGTTATCTGCGTAATGATTTTGTTGGCTTTCACTAAGTCCTTCTTGGGTTTAACAAACTCATTATGGACCTAGCAGATTTCGTGCACCACTAGGACTGGTCGGATTTTCCTAGCTCCTCCTTGACTCGTCCTTCTGTTGGCACTAGGCCCAGGCAGCTATTCATTTATCTGCCTGGGTCTAGCAGTGGTGTCTCATATTGGTGGTCTGATGGAGAGTGTTGTGTGCTGTAATACTGATGGGTGCCATTTTTGTGGTCTCTGGACATGAAGACAACTGTTGTTGGAGCTTTTTCAGTGGAAGTGTATGCGTGATGTTGATATCTTTTTCTGCAATAATCACCAATACCACAATGGATGTTACCAATAATATCAAATGAGCAAACAATGAGGTTACCAAGGAGGATGTAGAACCTTCCCAGAATTGTTCGGTGTAAGGATTGTACTTATACAAGAGGGGACTCTCAACATGTCCCTGCCACTTACTTTTCTTCTTCAAAGCATTTAACTTGATAACTGGCATCACCTCCATGGATGGAATGTGCTTCACCTGTATGCAGCTGAGAGGCTAGTCTCCACTGAAGTATTGAAGGAGATGGCAGTCTCCTGATCATGGGTAGTGTGATAATCAATGACTCTAAAAGTGAAGGGATGTCTGGTGATGCAAGTAGTAGGGTCATATCGGATAACTACAGTACCAACTTCTTAATGGCTTCTGCAATAGTCTGAAAATCAGAGAACTTGGCCAGCAACTCATATTATTCCCTTGACCCATCTTCTCCCACATGAAATAGCAGGTCAGCCCTGAAAGTCTTGAAGACCATAAGGTACTCCTCCAACTCTCTGTATTCCCATTACGAAATTTTTCTTCCATAATATCAGTTGGCCAAAGAGCACAATGAAAAAGTAGCACTATTTGCCTGAGAAAAGTTTTAGAAAGATAGAATATGCTTGAAATGTGTTGTTAATGTGCTGTATTTGTCTAGGAACTTCTGGACGACTTTTCGAACTGATAGTATATCATCATTAGATCTAATGTAGACATGAAATATCGTCCAAAACTTTCTAGACAGATGCAGTCCATTAATAACATTAGGTGAGTGAACGATAGTGTCTAAAAGGTTAAGAATTTGACCTGAAGTAGAAAAAGTAAAAACTAAAAATGCTTGTAAACCTGAATTATAATTGGTCAAATGTCCAGCTATAAGCATATGATTCAAAGGTGTAATGCTTCGTCACAACTACTATCTGCCTCAAAAGCGTATTTTCAGCATAATTTATCAAACCTCTTGCTCTGATGAAGTGTTATTTCTACAGGCACATGTATGTACTCATGTGTATATTGCCTCTTGCAAATGTCCCCCCTTGCATCTATGAATATCTCCTTCCATCAGGTTTCACCCAGGTTATACACTTGACCAACATATAGCTGAATTTTCCATTGTATCATTATCAAATGGTTCAATTAATACGGCTATCTCTCACACGCAAGTGAGTCCTCCACCATTTATAGTCGTTACTAGAGCAGAGCCAGAGTCCAATGAGGAGATAAAACTGTAAACACAGATTCCTACAGAAGTAACGAAAATCAGGCCATACACTTGAAGTCCACACTTGAATTTGTTTTAACTGCAACTTGTAGCAAAACCAATTTTAACAAACATTTGATGAAACTGCTTGCTTATGAATATTTCAATCATAAACCAAATACAACATTGAATATACAAAGTTTACTATTAGTATAGCACATAATCTACTTCTGGCACTTTCACCCACTTATGAATATTTTGATTTGATCTTATCAAAAATACTTTTCACTATAACTACCAAACAAATTGTTTTTTCCCAATGTTTCTTGTGAGCTCATCCATTATACTTATCTCTTTAAGAAAAAATCTCTACCTGCCAATGTTTCAGAA